TTTTTTTTTTTTTTTTTCTGTGAATGTCCAGAGCTTTCCAAAGACTCACAAGGGATCTGGAACCCAAGCAGTCTGGAGCTCTCATTCTCCACTTGATCTTAGCCAAAAGGCTGCGAAGCAATGGAGCTTTCTTTCTCCAGAAAGGCTTCTCTGCTGGAAGACAGGGCCAAGTTCCTCCTTCCAGCACCCTGCTCTTCCCCACCTCTGACCTCTGCCTGTGCCCCGCTCTTCACACCACAGGTGTCACATGTGGCAGTGTGCTGTGTACCCCCTGTGGGCAGGGCCCAGGGATTTCTTAGACACCTAAAGTGTCCACAGCATTGTCTAACACAGGGCTGACTTACCACAGGAAACTATCTCAAAGACATTTGCCTTTCTTACCCATAGGCCTTTGCAGATGCTGTTCCCTCACCTGGAACACCACCTCCTCCACCTTATCCAGCTCGTTTCCTGACACCCTTCAGCTCTCGGCCCAGACTTCTACAGGGGGCCTCCCTCGTTCCCTCCCTGTAGTGCTGGGTTCAAGTTTATTTTCCCAACTCTCAAAAGCATGTATTATGAAAAACATTTATTGAATAAATGAATGAAAGGTTAGTGTTTGGGTTGGCTTCCTGTGTCAGCTGGGACATAACTTCCTGACCCTATTTGTACAGTATTTTTTTACTTGGTTTTGTTTTTCCAAGTTTCTGGAATTGTGACTCACATACCACACAAGGCACTCATCTGTAGTTTTTAGTAGAGTTGTGCGACCATCCCCCTTCATAGAGCCCTGAGACCCTGCGCCCTCACATCACTCTCCAGAAGGACCCCATGTGCGGTGCTTCTCGCTGTCCCATTGAAGGACACAGAGTCTGGCCTCCTCTTGCACCCTGGGAGGGGGATGGGCAAAGACCAAGACCTGGCCATCTGCCTTTGCCATCTGACTGGCCGCAGGGATCAGGATTTTCTGGAGGCCCAGGGTTATGACCATGACTGTGCGCTTGCTGTGTGCCAGGTGACATGCTAAGCACTTGCCATAGATGACTCATGTAATGGCCACCAACAACCCACAGAGTGAGCACACGGGGCACACAAGCTCTCAGTGGTCCCACTGGGAGGCCAGGAAGGGCAGGGGTCAGGTCAGGGCAGAGCCTCCATCCTGTTCGTGCAACTGGAGCTGGACTTGGAGGGTTAAAAGCAGGAGTTCACAGGCCACAATGGGTGGTTTATAAAATATTCTATTCTATTAAGCATGGGCAAGTTCCCTTCCTCCCCCCCGACCCTCCAAGGTAGGATGTCACTTTATGTTTTTTAGTCCTGCAGCTCATTCCTGCACAGGGCACCGGCCAGGACTGGGGCTCCCTGCTCAGGCCACAGCCAGTTCCCAGCTGCAGAGCTGGGGCTGGGCTCACACTCCAGGGACTCCCACCCCATCACTGATCCTACTTCTCACAGGCTGGCTTAGGAGCCATCTGTAAGGAGTAGAGGAAAGCCGAGAATGGAGAGTTCCCCCAGCAGGATCTGAGGCTGTTCCCTTGTCTCCCTGCCAGTAACCCAGAGGCTCAGAGCAGAGGGAAGGCAAAGAGTCCAGGGGGATTTACCAAAAGGGCCAGGAGTAGGTGCTAAAATCCTTAAGATAGTCCAGAGATCTAGCTCAGTGGTGCCACTGCCTGCCTCGCAAGCTCAAGGACCTGAGTTTGATTCCCTGTACCAAAAAATAAACAAAATAAAATCCTTAAGGTAAGATCACACTGAAGATCTGAGAACAATGAAACAGGAGGGAAAATAAGACACAGGGGCTGGGCATTTAGCTCAGTGGTTCTGGCATCTGCCTTGCAAGCACAGGTCCCGGGTTTGATCTCCAGTACAGAAAAAAAAAAAAAAAAGACAAAGAAGCCTGGTGTGGTGGCCTAAGACTGTAATCCTAGCGTTCTGGAAGGCTAAGGCATGAGGTTCACAAGTGCAACACTAGCCTAGTAAACAGAGGGACTTTAGCAAGATCCTGTCCCAAAATAAAAATTACAATCCCCAGGGCCGGGGATTTAGCTCAGTGGTGCTGCCGCCTGCCTCACAAGCGCGAGGCCTTGAGCTTGATCCCCGGTACAAAAACAAAACAAAACAAAAAAGGGATGTAGGATGTAGTTCAGTGCAAAGACCCAGTACCTCTTCCTGCAAAGGACAAAGAGGATACAACAGAAAGAGCGCTGGGCAGAGAAAATTAGGCCGAGATAGAGCAACAAAGAAAAAACAAACACAGGAGGAGAAAGATAGAGGCCAAAAGAGACAGACTAAGCCACAGTTGTGGAAATGGAGTCTAGAGTGGTGTATGCATGTGTGTGGGGGTAATTCAGTGACTCCACGAGCAAACTCTGGAGTCAGAGTTTAAGAAACAGGCAGAAACAAAAGATACAAAATAGGTGTTTTTAATGGCGATTTTTATAAAAGGGCAAGGAAGTGTGAAGGGAACTAAGGGAGGGGTGGGAGGGGCTTGGGTGGCTGGAGCAGTGAGTCATCTGTCCACTCAGTCCCAGCCGGCTGCGTCCTTGTGCGCACGCGCACAGACCGGCTGCAAGTGCG